TTCTCGTTCTTCTTGTTTCTTTTCTTTCTCCTCCAACCACTGCTGTAGCCTCCCTTGTTTCTTTTCTTTCTCCTCCAACAACTGCTGTAATCTCTCTTCTTGTTTCTTTTCTCGTTCTTCTTGTTTCTTTTCTTTCTCCTCCAACCACTGCTGTAGCCTCCCTTGTTTCTTTTCTTTCTCCTCCAACAACTGCTGTAATCTCTCTTCTTGTTTCTTTTCTCTCTCTTTTTGTTTATTTTCTTTCTCCTCCAACCACTGCTGTAGCCTCCCTTGTTTCTTTTCTTTCTCCTCCAACAACTGCTGTAATCTCTCTTCTTGTTTCTTTTCTTTTTCCTCCAACAACTGTTGTAGTCTCTCTTGTTTATTTTGCTGTTCGAGCTGCCACTGTTGCAGGTTTTCTTGCCACTGCTGCTGTCTCTCTTCTTGTTTCTTTTCTTTTCCGCGAACAACTGCTGTAATCTCTCTTCTTGTTTCTTGTCTCGTTCTTCTTGTTTCTTTTCTTTCTCCTCCAACCACTGTTGTAATCTCTCTTCTTGTTTCTTTTGCTGTTCTTGTATTGCTGCTATCAAATCTGCTAAGCTGTAGTTTGATTTGCCACTTCTCGTTTCCATCTTTTTTTTTTCTTTTCCATCCCACTCTCTGACACCAGTTAGTTACTTCTCTGGTCGTTTGTTAATTTTTGGTATAAATTCTTCCCGAGGAACTTCAGCAATACAAGTCCTTTCTTAAATAAAACTAGTTTATTCTTTCTCAATACAACTTTGCAATACACTTAATTTCCACAGTCACTTTAACTTAGCTATAATTCACACTTTATTTACGGCTTGATTCGATTATCTGTCTCTATATCTCTCTATCTGCAAAATTATCTCTCCGTCTTATTTGCTAAAATAGAGGGTGTCTGGCAAACACTTGGGCCTTTATGATCCTTCTAGAAAATCATCACGTGTTACTAGGATCACGTGACTTCCCCTGTCGTAACACTATTGTAGACGAACTAAGAGAGAAATGGATAGTGTACCTGAATTCCGAACTTTAACTTGCGTTCAGTTTCAGTTGACGTCATAATAGGCCAGCAAAGGATATTCCAAGCTCAGTACACAACATTGAAATATCCTTGCGGGCAGAAGCCGCCACCTACTTAATGAACAAATAGGTGAAGGATTAGAACATTAACTAAGAACAAGATAATGTCCTCAATAATGAACCACATGTTTCCGCCATGACAGTGCAGAAACTAAATAATCAATAATTTAGAAACATTCCCTATTATTATAGAAGGTCTCCTATCATGGTATGCCTGCTTACAACAAGAGCACAACCTGAAGGCTTTTATTTGTTACCACTTGTCTCTCGGAATATTTACAACTTTTTTTTCAACAGTTCTGGTTGTCTCCATGGGAAGCTACATGAAATTAAAAAATGTATGATATGGATTGAGTTGACAACTACCATATGTAATAAAATTAAAAGAAAAATCCGAACTTAAAACAAAAATCATACTTGCTCAAAAGTCAATGATAGTTGCGTTACTTAAGTTAATTACGATATGTAACAAGACAATATGCTGTTGGCGGTGGAAAATCAATTCATAATAATGTATTTACAGGGAGAGGGAACACAAAACAAACTTGAACTTACCAATGAAACGACACAGGACCAGATCTTGGTCTACTATTATAATTATATGCAACGCAAATTGGTATATTTACCTTACATACAGGCTACAACTTGAGAACTCTATATTCCGTTTTAGTAACTGAGAATACGAGAAAGGACCAACAAGATGGACACTTAATAACTTTAGGTGACTTCAGGTGAAAGGGTCAACGCTTATTCCATTTCAGTAGAGAGATCAGTGGGCGTAACTGATTGCTCTGTGGGAAAACCATTTTGCATGGGAAATAGCACACAAGTAAATTACAGGTTTTTTTACATTTGTGTTCAGTCTCTCTTTATTTCTCCCGAACTCAGTTAAATATTACAGAGTATTTTCGCAATAAGTATCTTGACGAATCTTCCGTTATTCAGCGGACCTATGTTACCTATCTTGCCATTCTTAAAGGAAATAAGAAATCTGAAAATACCATATTCATACAAAGTGTTATGAAATTTAATCAAATCAGATGGCACGGCAGGTACTTTGGCATATGATGGCCAGGGGAGTTTGAGGATAAAACCAACCTCCTTCGCTTCGCTGGCGAGATCGCTTAACAACAATGTGAGAAAAGAAGAATATATATATATATATATATATATATATACGTACGTATGTGTATGAAACCGGGGGAAGAGGCAAAAGTGAGACCAAGGCCATGGGTGTAATTGCAACAAGTATTTCAACAAAGGGCACCATTTCAGAGAAGGTTGAGATCTAAAGCCCTGGCTATCCCAACTTTGGTGCAGCGGAAAATCGGAGTGCTCGGAGAAAACCCGCTTTCACTAGTCGGGACCGAATGAAAGCCCCAACTAGTACCAAATATGTTAACTGAAAGGAAAAAATAAGGTGAATAAAACATGTGCTTTGAATACGATCTAAGAACAAAAGCGGGTTTCAGAAGTGAAATAAAGTGAACCACCAATAAAATTAGTCTGTTCGAATGACGTATATAAACGTCATGCATGAGGCAAGTCAGTCATTTTGTCATTGAGCACTGACGCAATCTTGCCTTAAGTTCGTGGCTCGATTAAAGGAGGAAGGCTCCAGTTCGTTAAGATCTAACGTTAGAGACATTAATACAGTATTTCTAAAAACACTTCTACTTTTAACTTCTTTCTCCCCTAATTTAACATTTTTAATATGAAGATTTGGACCTCAGAACACATATTCAGGTAGGCCTATGCTAGGATAATAAGCAATAGCCTTGAATTAAATGGTTTCACAGCATCAGCCTTGCCTGATTTGAGCTTTGACTGCAAACATTTTAGTCATTAATATTTAAGTAAAAATGAAATTTTCATTTTTTATCACAAAAACAAGGAAGAAGCTATATTCAATGTGTGATTTTTAGTATACAGAAGTATTTTTAGTAATTAGATAATACTAATAGTAATAGTAGTAATAGGTGAAAACTTCGACCATACTTGCTAAAAATGAGTAAAAAAGTTTAAAAACTAAGCGAAAATCGAGTCTGATTCTAGCATATTGATATATATAATACATTTAAATTTTAAGGTTTGATTGGACCCTGGCTTGTCTGGTTCCTCTCTCCAAATTGCAATCTCTGACCAGTACTTTGTTTGAACTTGATTAATTCAAAGAATAGTAGACTGTGATTGAATTATGCTTAATACAGGAACAGTAACACAATAGCACAGCAACACTATGCATTAGTGAGTACTACTACTACTGTAATAGTAATATTAGTATTACTAATACTAGTAATACTGCTAAACATAATATACAGAAAAAAGGTACCACTTGGTCCTTTAGAAGGCTCCTCCTCACACCCACCTATGAGAATAGTTAAACCCATCCTAAACTTTTCGTTTTCAGGAAGTTTCCAACTCCCCTTTTAATTTTATTAAACTCTTGTGTAGTACCAGCTCCCACTATTGCCATTGGCAATTCATTCTATAAGCCAATCACCCTATTAGAAAAATAAAATTGTCTTAAGTGAAACCTAGCCTGTCTTTTCTAAATCTTAAACTTGTATCCTCTCATATTTGTTTTAAGAATATAACAAAATAGAAATAGGTGCCATTATTCTATCAGTTACCCAGTTAATCTTGTAATAAGGTCAACTTGTACTCTTCTTTTCTCATGACAGAATAAGTAAGAAGATCTTTCCTGATAAGATAAGACTTATCCATCCTCATTATGTTATTAGCATTCTCTAAATCCTGTACAATATCCTTTCTTAGATAAGGAGACCAAAATTGTGCAAAGTAGTCCGAGTGAAACCTAACTAGAATTTTGTGTAAAGATGTAATTTCCATTTTGACTTGTAATAACTGTGTTTATAAATACATCTGCCTTGAAGTTGATATTTGAGTGATTTATCCACAACAATGCCAAGAAAATTTTTTTACACTGCTATAAAGTAGGTTCTCATCTGTGATCTATATAAAAGTGTGATCCAAATTATGATAACCCAATTGCATTACCTTGTTTTTTTTTGTAATTAAAGGTCATCTGCCAAATACTTTTCCAACATACATTTGATCCAGATCGTTTCAACAAGGGAACTTTTGGTCCATCTCAGCTGTACCATCCTCTAAACTAAACTATTATAAATTAAAAAACAACTTAAAGCCAGCCCTTATCACTCGTATAGTTATCAAGCTTTCTCTTAAGCTCCACAATATCTGAAGGCAACCCATTCCAGAGGCCAACCACTCTGTTAGAAAAATATAACTGCTGTAGTTGAAGATGACTCCTACCTTGACAAAATTTATATTTCTGTCACTTAGTTGTACTATTCTTGCCATTAAGTATGAAAAAACGATGATACATCAAAACTGTCAATTCTCTTTACAATCTTAAACACCTCAACCAGAACCCCCAACTCTTCTTTTTCCAAAAGAAAACAATTTCAGAGATCTTAACCTCTTCTCATATGACAACCCCTCCATCTCAGGCACCATTGTAGTAGCCCTTCTGAACCCTTTCCAATAATTCAATGTCCTTCCTAATGTAAGGAGCCCAGGACTCAACACAATTCTCCAAATATTAATACTAGAAATAAATGACTTTATAACACCAAAATGTTGTTTTTATTTAGTTGGACAACTAAATAAAAACAATATTTTGGTGTTATAAA